AGGAGAAAGAGGCTGCAGGAGGGAACGTGGGCTTGGGAGAGGGAGCGCAGCCTCGGGTGCCTGAGGCGGACTCAGGGGACAGGAGCAACTTCCAGAGCTCAGCCAACTTCATGTTCCAAAAATACAAGCTGCTGCCCTCCCTCCCAGCCAGCACTGAGCCCCCCCAGCAGGATGGCAGCTCTCCAGCCCCCCAGCCCAGCCCCCCCAGCAGCACCCCCACACCAGCTCACCCAGCCTCCTCTCCATCCAGCAACCCCCCATTCCCACCGCCTGGCCCCCAGCTCAGCATCACCCTGGCCCCAGACCCTCCCCAGACTGTGCTTCCCAAAGCCCCCTCCACCCCGGAGGAAGAGGTGTTGCTGGTCAAGAAGGTCGGTGTTCTCCCCTCGGGGCGGTACTTCAGCGCCCTGCACACCTTGCTCTGTGACACCATCTCGGGCTCGGTGTCCCGCTCCTCCCCGGAGCTCCTGCGGCAGTGGCTGAAGAAGGCTGAGCTGGCAGAAGAGCTGGGAGAGATGCCCAAATCCCTGCCCAGCCCCAAACATGGCTCCAAGGCTGCCGGTCCTCAGAAGCCCAGCAACGGCAAGGAGATCTGGCTGGCTTTCCAGGACGTGGCCGCGCTCCTCTCCAAACTGCTCTCCCAGCTGAACACCTTCATGTCCGCTTGCCCTTTCCCGCACGTGGTCCGGGCGGGAGCCATCTTCATCCCCATCCATGTGGTGAAGGAGAAGCTCTTCCCAAAGCTGCCCGGCAGCTTCGTGGACCAAGTGCTGCAGAAGCACAAGGTGGAGCTGCGTCCCACCACGCTCTCAGAGGAGAAGCACCTGAGGGACCTGGAGCTGAAGAGCTGCACCTCCCGCATGCTGAAGCTCCTGGCGATCAAGTGGCTTCCCGAAATCTACCCTGACCTGCTCAACCTCCACTGGCACAACTCCATCCAGCAGCAGCTCGGTAGGTAGCCTGGAGTCTCCTGGGGATGGGTCCCTGGAGCTCTGCCAGGGCTTTTCCAGCTGCACCTGCCCTCCAGGCGCTGCTGCTCTTGGGGAGCATCCAGAGATGCCTCAGCATCCCTGTCCTACTGAGGGTTCTGTCCAGCTTTTCCTCTGTGTGTTGTGGAGGGGGGAAAGTTTGAGCTGGAAGGGAGAAAACTCATCCTGGGGGTATCAAGGAGGTTTCAGTCAGTTCTAGGCCACATCTGCCCATCCAAGGGCACAGTGTCAGACCTGTCACCCATGCCTCTCCCATCCACCTCATGGCTTCACTGTTGTGTCCAGATAACCTTCTGTTGCTGCTCAAGGCCATTAACAGCAACTTCATTTCTTCCAGGTTCAAGCTCAGAGACTGGCCAGCAGCCCTCCAAGTAAGTAACTCCTCTTCCACGTGGATTTATAGGAATTTATGACATTCATTTGTCATTTTGTGGAGGTGTATGTGTGTGGATTTCATGTGATGATGAGAAGCTGGGGATGACTGGGGAGGCTCCACTCCCTGGGCCAGGCTGGAGTTGGGAATATTTGGGATGTGGAGCTTGCTCTCCCTAACCACTCCTTCCTCTCCCAGGTAGCCCTGACATGGAGGCACTGAAAGCTGATGGCAAAGCGACAGCCACGGACAGATCAAGGGAAAGGAGGCGCTGAGGAATGTGCCAAGGGCAACAGCCAAATGATGACAGGAAAGGGAAGGTCCCGAGTCCTCAGAGCCGTGGATGCCGACACCACCAGCAGCCCTGCAGGCAGGTGCTCAGTTCCCACCACCATCAGGATCCTCCAGGATGCTGATACTTTGGCAGGGACCCTCTGGGGATGCTGCTCAGGGTGGAGAACAGCTCAGGGGTGCTCCAGGGACACTCGCTGGGATGCTGCTGCTGGGTTATCCGGGCCCGCGGGCATGGGCTCGAGCCCTTCACAGCAGCTGGAGCTGCTTTTCTTTGAATGGATCATCTTTCAGTGTATCTCCCGCCTCCATCCGTGATTGCCCTGGTGAGCTGAGAGAGAATGGCTGGAGTTCCAGTGGAGCTGGAGCAAGAGGAGCATGGAAATGGCCACAGCACCCTTCCCAGCCTTGGAAAAAGGGACTGCAGGGATGACATCCCACCTCCTCCTCTGAATTCCCCCTCCTGCTTTATCCATGCCTTTCCCAATAAACATCCCCTTCCTCTGTGATTTTTACCTTTAAAGTGCCATAAAGACCTGGCACAACAGCAAGGGCAAGGGAGTCGTGACTTCCATAGTCCCAGGACTAAGCTGGTTTTGTCTTAAATGAAGACATTTTACAAATGTTCTGGATTAACCTTTATAAGGAGTTGCTGCCTTCAGGTCATGTGTTTTGGGTTGGGTTTTTCTTTAAATACAGTAATCTAGATGTGTCTTTTTATTTAAACTAAAAGGCTACAAGAAAGATCTAAAGACTCTTAAAGAAAAGAAAACCAAATCACTTCACATCCCAGATCCTGACCCAAAGGAGAACATGGGAGATGCACGTTTAGGGACCACCTTGGTGGAGACTAAAGGAGCAGAGAGGGCAATGATGCTGCCAGACCTTGGAAGGAGGGATCCTTTCATCCCAAAGGGTTATGGGCATGCCAGGAGGGATGTGGGCATCCCAGGACTGATGGACAGCCTGTCACCCGGGGGATGCAGTGGGGTATAAAGCAGAGGCCTTAAAAACTCATCGCTCAGGTGTTCTTCAAGCTGCTGCAGGGCATGGAGGAACAAAATGAGGGTTATTCAAATTTTTTATTTCACTACAGGGAATATTTATTTTAAACTAAAAAGATGGAGTTCGGGGGTGTTGGGTGGAAATGACCCTACCCACTCTGTACTTATTTTAGCCAAAAGGTGTGTTTGCTACTGGGGGATTTCTTTGGGTGCCTTCCTGGTTTTCTGTGGGGATGGGGTGGCTGTGGATGGGACAGGTAAGGGGGATGCTGCTGTTCTCCTCACTCCCCCCCACAACTCTATGCATGTGCACAGTGATTTGAAAAGCAGTGTTTGTTAATAATGTTGTCTTTGTACATACATAAGGTTCCAGGGAACAAAGCTCCTTCCCTTTATTTAACTTTTTTATAAGAATATGAAGAGTTGCCTCACCTGGTTTAAGTGAGTTTGACTTGTTTCCAGACATGCCCTGCTTCTGTCCCTGCTTCCCAGCATGGGCACAACGGGACCTTCCTGGGGTTGGAGAGTCCCCAGATCCCCCAACCGATGCACTGCCCTCTTCTCCCTGCAGCAAGCCACAAGTGCTGTGCCCAGGCTCTCTGTCCCATCACTGCAGGCTGGATCCAGTGTCCAGGATGCCCTCACAGGGGCACATCCCAGCCTTCACAAACCCCATGGGTGACAGCCTGGGAGGAGGATGCTGGTGCATGTCTGAGCACCAGAAACTGGGCAGGAGGGTCTGGGTGCTCAGGGATGCAGCCTGGGCCGACCCAGGGGGGACCCCTCAGACCCTCCCCCTTGTGAACCTCCATCAGACACAGAATCTGCCTGAGCCCAAAGGCCAAGTGCTGCAATCCACGTTTGTCAGCCCCAGTTGGTGGAGCCCAGCAGGTGAACACTGCCACAGCCTCACAAACAGGGAGCTTTGGGGAGCATCAGCAGAGTTTGGGGATCATCCTGCCTGGAGGGACAGGCCCACCCCCTCCTGCTGCTGCCAAAGGCTCCATGAGGAGCAGAGGGAACCTGAGACCCTCCAGTTTCACCTGGGGGAGTGCAGATGAGTTGGTGTGTTAATTGGGAGCAGCTGGAACAGAGCCACATCCTCCCTTGGGAAACCAGATAAAAGGCAGGGCTTGGCTGGCCCTTGGTGCTCTGTTCTTCTGGGGTGCTGCCAGGTGAGGGGTGCTGGTGGGCCTGCTCCTGCCTGGGGAGGTGTCTGGGGACAAGGTGGGCGTTTGGGGCAGGGAGTGAGGGAATGTCTGATCCCAGGGCTGGTTACAAGCCTGCGCTGTCCTGGGAGCTTCCAGGAGGCTTGGCACAGGCTTTCCTGAGCCGGGAGGCTGCTGGGGAGAAGGGAGGGATTTAATAAGGAGCTCAGGGAATGGGAAAGCTTGGGAATGGGCCAGGCACTGGGGTGTGGGGGCTGCAGGGGACCCTCCCCCCGCTAACTCTCCTGCTGTCCCTCTCCACAGCTGAGCTCTCCCCGCGGTCTCTCCCAGGAGGAGCCGAGCGGTCGGACCACCGAGCCCCGGGCGCCGCCGCTGCCCTGGAGGCAGGAGCGATGCTCGGCGCTGAGAGGGAAGGGGCTGCGGGCACAGCCCCGGCTGCTGCTGCCCGCCGGGCTGTCCGTGCCGGCCGGCTGTGCCTCAGTGCCGCCCTGCTGCTGGCCGCGTGTGTGTGTGCCACCGCTGTCCCCTGCGGCCCGGGCGCTCTGCCTGCTGTCCCCTGGGCTGCCCCGGGCTCCTCCGCCTCCCGGCGAGGGCTGGGTGACAGTCTGGGGACAGCGCGTGGGGACCCCCTCTCCTCGGGCTGCTTCCCGGGGCTCCGAGGAGCTGTGAGCCCCGGGCCGGGTGCCGGGGGACGGAGCCTGGGGACACGGAGCGCGGCCACAGGGACATCTCGGCCCTCCCTGCAGCGGCAGCCTGGAGCTGGGGACAGGGAAGGGCTCGGGCGGGGCACGGCAATGGCTGTCACGCTGTCCCCCGCACAGTGGCCTGGCAAAAGGGTGCCTGCTGCCTCAGCTCGGCTCTTCCAGCCCCAGGGTGTCCCCAGCCCCGGCTCCTGGCGTCACCTTGCTCGGGGAGGCCTCCACAGAGCAGCAGCAGCAGGCTCCCGTGGTGCCACACGGATGGCAGCAGTGAGTGCAGCCGGTGGCCTGGGGCAGCCAGCGGGCACAGCAGAGCCCCAGAGCCCACAGAGGGGGTCTGGGGCCACCTCCAGAGCTGGGAGTGAGCCGGCTGCTGGGGTCCCTGCCACCTCCCAGGTACGGCTGCGCCCTCCTGCCCTCCCCACAGCTGCTTCTGGCCCCTGGACTGAGCTGAGCCCTGGCACGGCGGGGGTGCCCCCTGCCCTGACACCAGAGGGGCTCTGGGGCACTGCTGGCACTGCCCTGCCTGGGGCAGCTGCTCCCTTGGTGGATGCTGTGTTGGCCCAAGCTCCAGGAAATGGGTCTGGACTCCTGGATGCCGTCCTGGCATCACTTCCTTCCACTGCAACAGCTCCTGGTGCCCACAATCAGCACCTGCTGGCTTCTTCCCTTCCCACGGTGGCATCTGGGGCTCCTGCTGTCACCCTGGGGACACAGAGTGAGTGCCCTTGTCCCCCTGCACAGCCCATGTCCACTGGAGCCTCCCCAGTGCAGCCCAGGGCTCCCAGCCCTGCCGGTCCCACCGTGACTGGGCTGAGCTCCACAGCCCCTGGTGCCATCCCAGAGCTTGGGCAGATGTTTGTGATGGAAGGATCCAGGCACAGCCAGCCCAGGACAGCATCAGTGGGACCCGTTCCCACTCCAGCAGGACCTCCAGGGCCCAGCCCTGCCAGCCCAGGCTCTGTGCCTCCCCCCTGCTCCCCAAAGCCAGCTCTGCAGCGTGGCTCTGAGCCTGGGCGCCACGCTGCCACCAGCAGCAGTGTGACATCTCCATCCTGCGTGCTGACTTCTCCTGGAGCTGGGCATGCAGCCAGCTCCCTGCTCAGCTCCCAGAGCCTGGCTGTGCCCACAGCAGTGACCCTCCGTGCCCTGGCTGTGTCCCGTGGCTCCAGCACTTGCCAGCACTCCTCCACAGCCACGGAGCAGCTCCCTGCAGCCACCAGAGCGGCCTCCAGCCCCGCCGAGCAGATGCCAAAGGGCAGAGCTGGCTCCACAGGGATGGAATCCCCTGCGTGCCACCCCTCCAGCCTGCCCTTGCCCACACAGCCTGTGCACGTGCTGCCCTTGCAATTCCGGCTGCTGGGCATGGCTTTCTCCCCGGCTCTGGGCAGCAGGGATTCGGAGAGCTACCGGCAGCTGGAGGGAGATGTGAGACTGATGGTGGGTGCTGGGGGTGGCTGGGACACTTCTGGCCCTTTGGGCTGTGGGGTGGTGCCAGCCCTGCTGGGGAGGAGCCTGAGTGCTGCATCAGCCCTTGGCTGGCTGGTTGCCCACCTGGGCGTGGTGGAGGTGGGCAAAGCCCTGGCACTGCTCCACTGGAGCTTGGCTTGAGGTGGCACTGGGCTCCCCTCGCCTCTGGCTCCAGCAGGGCCCTGGCACACGGTGTTATTGCTGGGGTGTTCCCTCCCAGGAATGGGGGTGCCTGCTCTGGCTCTCCCAGCTCATCCCCAGGCATTCCCAGAGGCTGGCACTCCCTGGGTGCCAGCGTGCCCTCCCCTGGGCAGGCTGAGCTGGCTTCCCTCTCTTTATTGCCCTCCTGCTCGTGCATTTCCCCTTCACATGGGGGAGCTTGGGAAACCTCGATTACCTCCTCAATTAATTACCGGGTGCTTCTTCCTTCCAGCTCAACCAGATGCTGTCCAGCTACGAGAGCTTCCTGCAGGCCAATGTCCTTGAGTTCATGTGAGTGTGCAGCTGCTGAGCAGGGCTGGGTTTGGTGGGAGCAGAGGCCTGTGGGAGCCAGCCTGGCCTTAAGGAGAGTCCTGTGTGGAACAGCAGTGACTTGTGACTCTGAACTTTGGTGGAGAGTCTCTGTTCTCTTGGGAAAGGTGCATACCAGAGGATGGCTGCAGCCATAAACACCACGTGGGAATGTTTTTCCTTTGCCTCCCTGAAGGCTGGGAGGTGGATGTTTGGGTGAATGGCTGATAAGGGCAGAAATGTTGTCTGCTTTAATGAATGTTTGGTGGTGTTGGCTGCTCTGGGCTTCCTCTTGCATGTTGCTGAGACTTTCTTCAACCTTTAGCATAGTAGAAACATAAATACTGGAGTGTGTGTAATAAAGATGGATCCTGCTGGAAGAAGCAGTGGTCTGGTTTTTATCAAGCTGCAGCAGGTTTGTTTGGAGGGAAGGCTTTGCCCAGGAAAATGCTCCAGACAGGTCCTTGTGAGGGGCTAGGCTCCCTCCCTGGTGTCATCACCCCGAGGGATCCCTGCCTGAATTCCTGGCTAAATGCACCTGTAAAAAATCCTTCCAGCTCAACCAGATGCTGTCCAGCTACGAGAGCTTCCTGCAGGCCAATGTCCTTGAGTTCATGTGAGTGTGCAGCTGCTGAGCAGGGCTGGGTTTGGTGGGAGCAGAGGCCTGTGGGAGCCAGCCTGGCCTTAAGGAGAGTCCTGTGTGGAACAGCAGTGAACTTTGGTAGAGTCTCTCTGTTCTCTTGGGAAAGGTGCATCCCAGAGGATGGCTGCAGCCATAACCCCCCCGTGGGAATGTTTTTCCTTTGCCTCCCTGAAGGCTGGGAGGTGGATGTTTGAGGGAATGGCTGATAAGGGCAGAAATGTTCTCTGCTTTAATGAATGTTTGGTGGTGTTGGCTGCTCTGGGCTTCCTCTTGCATGTTGCGGAGGCTTTCTTCAACCTTTCCCATAGTAGAAACATAAATACTGGAGTGTGTGTAATAAAGATGGATCCTGCTGGAAGAAGCAGTGGTCTGGTTTTTATCAAGCTGCAGCAGGTTTGTTTGGAGGGAAGGCTTTGCCCAGGAAAATGCTCCAGACAGGTCCTTGTGAGGGGCTAGGCTCCCTCCCTGGTGTCATCACCCCGAGGGATCCCTGTCTGAATTCCTGGCTAAATGCACCTGTAAAAAATCAAAAAGCAGTAGGTGTGCTGCTCAGTGTGTCCTGTCCCTCCCAGGAATGGCTCCGTGGTGGTGCGAGGGGAGGTTCTGTTCCGGGGGGATGCTCCTGCTCCCACCAACTCCCACCTCATCCGGACAGTGGTCACAGAGGCAAGCAAGGGAAGGAGCATCTTCAGCTGGCAGCTGGAGCCCCAGTCTGTCCAGTCTGGTGGTGAGTCCTCAAGGTCTTCCCACAGCAGGGCTGCTGCTGCTGCCAGGTGCCCTCCTGGTGCCTCTCTCAAAGGCCAAGCCCGTGCTGCTTGGGTGCCAGGCTTTTCCTGCACTTAACATCCCTTCTCCTGGCCTGTGTAAAGCCACTGTAAGCATGTGGAGGGTGCTGGAGGGCACATCTGCAGCAGCTGGAGCTGTGTGGGCTGTGCTTCTGCTCGGCTCCCTGGCCTCCCCTCTTTGCCCCAGCTCTCCTGTGCTGGGAAATGGTGCATCCCGACCCCTTCCCACATTCTAAGGGATTGCTCCTCACTGGGCTGCCC